GCCTCCGCCTCCCAAGTAGCTGGGACCACAGGCGCCCGCCACAGCACCCGGCTATTTTTTGGTTGCAGCCGTCATTGTTGTTTGGTGGGTCCGGGCTGGGGATTCGAACCCGCCACCTCAGGTGTACGTGGCTGGCGCCTTAGCCGGTTGAGCCACAGGCGCCGAGCCTAAAGTCAGTTTTATCGTATTTTCTTTTCTCTTTTTTTTGAGAAAGAGTCTCAGTATGTGGCCCTTGGTAAAGTGCCATGGCATCATAGCTCACAGTAACCTCAAACTCCTGCCTTAAATGATTCTCTCGCCTCAGCCTCCCAAGTAGCTGGGACTACAGGAGCCCACCACAACGCCCAGCTATTTTGTTGTTGCTGCAGTTGTTATTGTTATTGTTGTTTAGCAGGCCCAGACGATGCTCAAACCTGCCAGCCTTGGTGTACATGGCTGGCACCCTACTCACTGAGCTATGGATGCTAAGCCAGTTTTATCATATTTTCTTTAGAAGCACCACAGATTCCAATAGACTATATTTATTAATTTGCAAGTATCAATGATAGCTTTTTAGAATTATTATAAAATTTCCCTTACATAAATTGCAAAATTTAAGGAAAACAATATAGCATATACCTGGTTTTATCAGAGATCCACTCTTCATTAATGTCCTCATGCATACGTGGCAAAATCCTCATTACTTCTCCAGTTCTTGTGCTAACCACAATATTACTTCCAACTGCATCCATGACATCAATTGATTCTGTCTTTCTGAGAAAGTGAACACATATACTTATTATGCCAATTTGGAGAATTAAAGACAAAGTCTGTGTTACCCAGTTTACAAAAAAATTATTTTTCAAGAGTATACCGTGGATGGTGGGTTCAAACCCGGCCCCAGCCAAAAAAAAAAAACTGCAAAAAAAAAAATTATTTTAACATTTGTCTGAATTTCTAAAAATAATGGAACCTACAGGAATTATTATAAAGTATATACCATATTTGAACACATCATGTTAATCCCTAATGCAATAATTTTCTGACACAAAACCCAGTTTCAATGGGCTCTAACTAGTCAAACCCAGGGCAACTGGAACATCAAAATAACTAACAAGTAGGGCAGCATTTCTGCCTAAGGAAGATTAAGGAGTTCAACAAATTCTCTTCCTAAAACCAAAAATAAAGCTCGACAAAACTGACAAAAACACCATTTCAGCATTTTGGAACTCTACCAAAGGCATAGAAAAAGGTGAGAAGCTTTCATGCATTAAAAAGACTACTTTAAGTAAGAACAGTAGAAATCTGTGGTGGCTGGGCTCAGTGTTGCTCCTATTCCCTTCCCACCACCTCCAAAGGGAGGTTCTTTCAGGGTAGGGCAGGCTGTAAAGACAGAAGCTTCTGTGCTGCAAATGGAGACAACTCACTCATTCTGGAGAAACTGTAAACTTGTCTGGATTTGGTACCTTGGATTTTGTTGTAAAAGTCTATTAGCCCGAGGCTGTAGTCATATTTAGGGCATATATTCCTAGCTGAGGTTGCACATAGATGCAGCTGAAACAAGAAAGACCTTAACCTATTCATATGCTCCTGGACAATAGGGCCCAGCAGAAAGGAAAAACTGGGAGACTTGAGAACAGTCTAAACTTTGAATATGCTCCTCTATCCACATAAAAACCCACTGGCAAAAAATGAAAGTCTTATTTCTTCAAGGTATTTGAGCACAATCACTGAGTAACTGATTAGGTAGGCAGACACAGGAACTCCTAAACAGCTTTAATTAAAAGATCTTCAAAGACCAAAGAAAATCATGTTATAAAATTAAAGAGGCCTGGGCACAGTGGCTCACAACTGTGATGCCAATGCTGTAAGATGCCAAGGCGGGAGAATCACTTGAGGCCAAGAGCTGGAGATCAGACCGGGCAATACAGCCCATCTTTACAAAAAGTTAAAAAAAAAAAAAATAGCTGGGCATGTAGTCCTAGCTACACAAGAGACCAAGGCAAAAGGAACATTTGTGCTGAGGACTCTGAGGATGAGGCTGCAGTGAGTTACAATTGTGCTACTGTACTCCAACCTGGATGACAAAGCAAGATCCTGCCTCAAAAAAAAAAGTAAAGGAAGTATCACAACCAGGAATCAACAAGTAGAGATTCTCGATAAGGTTACAGAAATTCTATTTAAATAAAAGGAAATCCTAGAGTTGAAAAGTATAAAGTTTAAAAGCGGAAGGTAATCTGATGACACATTTCAAGAACCTTAAAAACATTCAGCCTGGTGCAGTGGCTCACACCTATAATCTTAACCCTGGGAGGCCAAGGAGGGTGGAATGCTTGAGCTCAGGAGTTCAATACTAGCCTGATCAAGAGTAAAACCTTATCTCCACTACAAATAGAAAAAACTAGGTAGGCAACATGGTAGGTGCCTGTAGGCCCAGCTACTCAGGAGGCTGAGGCAAGAGGATCACTTGAGTCCAAGAGTTTAAAGTTTCTATGACCTATGATGCTATGGCACTCTACCCCAGGGTGATGGAGTAAGACTCTGTCTCAAAAAATAAAAAATTCAAGCCTCTTCCATCTACCTACTTTATTTCTTGGCTTAACTGGAAGAATCAGAAATACACAAAAAACTTATGAATAGCAATGTTTTCCATACATTTGTAATTATAAAGAAATACAAACAAGCTAAATGTCTAATAAGAGGAAATAGTTAAATAAAATATGACATCCACATGGTTGAAATCTCAAATATACAATAACAGAAACTACAAATTTAAAATAACAAAACTATTTTATTTTATTCTTTGGGAAGAACAAGTGAGAAAAAATAGTGGTTAAGTACTTTAGAATTAATTTCTCAGAAAACTAAAATTAAATAGCTAGGAGTTGTGGCAGGCTCCTGTAATCAGTGCTAGGATTATAGGTGTGAACCACTGCACCTAGGCAAGAGGATCCTATGAGCCCAAGAGTCTGAGGTTGCTGTGAGCTGTGACACCACAGCACTCTACCAAGGGTGACAAAGTTGGGCAGCACCTGTGGCTCAAAGGAGTAGGGTGCCAGCCCCATATGCCAGAGGTGGCAGGTTTAAACCCAGCCCCGGCCAAAAACTGCAAAAAAAAAAAAAGGTGACAAAGTTAGACTCTGTCTCAAAGAAAAAAAAATATGAAAACTAAAATTAATTTGTGCCAGTTCATTCATTCTACCTTCCAACTTAACTACTAATCTTCCATTAAAAGGGTTTTACTTAAAGCAAATAAATAAAAACCTAGCAGACAAAAACAACTGAAACGCAGGAAGAAAATTACCCTTAATATTTTTTGAATAGTAGTGAATTAAAAACAATGAACAAATTGCCAAAAAATATAAAGATGAATACCTTGTTTCCCAAGGCCGAGCAGTAAAGGCATAAGGTTTAGAGGTTAGGGCACCTACAGGGCAGATATCAATGATATTCCCAGACAGTTCAGACATGAACATCTTTTCAATGTATGTACCAACTTGCATATCATTTCCTCTGCCCGTTGTTCCCAAATCATCTACTCCTGCAATTTCACTTGCGAACCTACAAGATAAAAATGTGCCAAGTCTAGCAAAATAGAATAGTCAAGTCTAGCAAAATCATTTTCTTTCCTATTTATGCTCACGAAGAAATAATGATTTTCAAAACACTAAAAGAAATGGAGGATATTTTCTTTTTTAGAGTGCATAGCATATTTTTATTTTGTACATATTAAAGCATTTGATTTTTTTCCTGCAGTGCTATGATTTTTCAATATGTTTTGAATTACATCACTTTCTTTCATTTGCTGTGTTTTATGATATTCTACTGCCTAAAAGAGCTGTCAGGGCTGTTGAGAATCAAATGCTTTAAGACTCATTTTATTTAGAGACTCATGTCATAATTTGAAATAACCAGAGATGCTCTTATGTATCAGAGAAAACTATGGCTCTATTATTAAGTAGTGAATTTTCATGTTTTTCTTCTTCAAAAGGAGAAATGAAGGATATTTTCAATGGGAGCACAATCCCTGAACAAAAAATAATTCAGTAAATATTTGCATTTATCTGAGGTGTGTTGCATAAGTAGAAAATTATGCAAGTCATGTGTACAACTCACCCAGTTATCACAGAGTGAATGCTTGTACATTTTAATTTTCAAATGCAATGGAAATTGGTATTAATCAAAAGTGAACAACTTATTCACTTTATTGGTGTATGTAAAAAACATTAACAACATCCCTCTTCCCCCATCCAATAAAAGTTGCCATCCTGCCCAGTGCTATTATTCATCAAATTTTGTTAATATTAAATAAGTATACAATGATATTCCAGAAAAGAAAAGGGAAAAAATTACCTAATGCAGCGAGTACACTGTATACATCTAGTCATGATGGTCTTTACCAATGGCCCAATGTTCTTGTCCTCCACAGCACGCTTCCCTTCTAAAAATCGGCTCCTATCATTTCCAAACATCATGGACTGGTCCTAAATAGATTATGAAAGAGTCCATCTAATATTGCTAATGAAATTAAAATCCAAGATAACCAAAAGAAATTTACAAAATTTGAACTACATACTTGCAGATCACATTCACCTCCTTGGTCACAAATAGGGCAGTCCAGTGGGTGGTTTGCTAATAAGAACTCCATCACGCCTTCTCTGTATGAAAAGTTGTAATATGAAAGTATGAAAACTGTAATATGTAAAACGACACAAACTAAACTGCTAGCACTCAAAATGGCTTACATACAGGCCACGTAAACAACTTGCACAGATGTATGCTTTCTTATATAGTTAGTATTAATTTTTTTTTTTTCAAGACAGAGTCTTAAGCTGTCACCCTAGGTAGAGTGCCATGAAGTCATAGCTCACAGCAACCTCAAACTCTTGGGCTCAAGCGATCCTCTTGCCTCAGTTTTTCTATTTTAGTAGAGAAAGGGGTCTCACTTTTGCTCAGGCTGGTCTCGAGCTCACAAGCTCAAGCCATCCATGCACCTCGGCCTCCAGAATGCTAGGATTACAGGTGTGAGACACTTGCCCAATCTTTAGTATTAATTTTAATTAACTGTCAGAAATGCCAAGGTAACTATCATTCTGGTAGTATCAAATATACGACCTGGAAAACGCTTACAGAAGTCTAAAATGAAATTATCAGAGAACCTAGAAAATTATGACTTTTAACATATATTATTATCAAAAATTACTGCAAGGTTTTCAGAAAATATTCACATTAATTCAAACACACACACACACGAACATAAAAAAGCAAACACGATCAGTAGAGTATAGTACTACATCACTGAAATAATCTCAGTCCAATAAGCCCCAGACTCATTACAAGTTGAACAAGTTACTAAACAAGGATTTTTAATGCTAATCCCATTCTAGGCTCAATACATGAACTCCTGACTTGACTCACTTCCACTGCTCCCAGATGCTAAGCGCACTAACTCCTTCACAGTTTGACATGAAGTTCTTCATCTATTGGCAAGTCTAAAAGTGAAATATGAAATTTTCTACTCTAACTAAGGCTACTACACTGAGTAACAGTAAAGTACCTTGCTTTCTTGGATTTTTCTGAATTTGTCAGGATATTCCAACCTTTCATTACTGGCATGGCACAAGCAGCTACAACCTGGAATTCCAATGAACAAATATGTATTTATTTGTAATTATAAGCAACTCAATATATAAAAATGTTGAATTATGTAAAATATTATATATATATTTTTAAATTGAGACAGAGTCTCACTTTGTCACCCTTGGTAGAGTACTGTGCCGTCATAGCTCACAGGAACCTCAAACTCTTGCACTTAAGTGATTCTCTTCCCTTAGCCTCCCTAGTAGCTGGGACCTCAGGCACCTGCCACAATGCCTGGCTATTTTGTTTGTTTGTTTAGCAGGCCCAGGCTGGGTTTGAACCCACCAGCCCTGGAGCTTGTGGCCGGCGCCCTAACCACTGAGCTAAGGGGAACCAAGCAAAAACCACTTTTTTTTTTTTTTTGAGACAGAGTCTCAAGCTGTTGTCCTGGGTCCTAAGGCATCATAGCTCACAGCAACCTCAAACTCTCCAGCTCAAGCAATCTTCTTGCTTCAGATTTTCTATTTTTAGTAGAGATAGGGTCTCACTCTTACTCAGGCTGGTCTCAAACTCGTGAGCTTTAGCTAGCAATCCACTTGCATTGATCTCCCAGTATGCTAGGATTACAGGCGTGAGCCTTCACGCCCCACTGAAAACTTACTTCTTAAGTTTATTCTAATAGACCGCAATTTCTTTTGACTGTTTTGTTGTTGTTGCTGTTTTGCTTTTCTTCTTTTTGAGACAGGGTAACACGCTGCTCTGTTACCCAGGCTTGAGTATAGTCATTGCCGCCTTAAATTCCTGGGCTCAAGTGATCCTCCCACTTGAGGTATGTGTTAAGGTGACCAGATTTTAACACTGGTAAAGTGGGACACTATTGACAGGGGTGGGGGTGTTCTTAACTAAAAATTTGGTCTATATGGAGCAACAAAAATTTTCATAGAATGCAAAAATAGTATTGTAATATATATTTTTTATATTTCAACATAAGTACAATTTACAAATATAATACACTAAAAAAAAAATTATGTATAGGGTGGCACCTGTGGCTCAAAGGAGTAGGGCTCTGGTCCACCTGGGCAACCTTGCCCAGGAGGGGAGTAGGGAGTTTATATTAGCCTTTTCATTTCCAAATGAAGTTACATTAACCTCTTCATTCCCAAATGGAGTTACATTAACCTTTTCAGCAGCCCTATATTCCCTTCCCGTTGTCCTGCTCCCCCGTTCCCTAGCTTGTCATGCATTCTTTCCAAAAATTGGGACTTTTTTAAAACGCCGTGGGACATGGGACAAATTGTTAAAAATCGGGACTGTTCCACCAAAAGTGGGACATCTGGTTACCTTAGGTATATGCCACATGCTCAGCTAATTTTTCTGTTTTTTTGAAAACAGAGATGGGGGTTTCACTCTCACTCAAGCTAGTCTCAAACTCCTGGCCTCAAGGAATCCTCCTACCTCAGTCTCCAAAGTCACAGGATTACAGGTGTGAGCCACCATGTCTAGCCCTCAATGCAATTTTTTATTCTGCTTTGAAACAGAACATTAAAGAAGTATGCTTTGCTTAACAGCCACTAGTTAATCAAAATTACATATGCCAAACTATAACTAAACTACAGAAAGTAAATCTCTTCCCTGCAATCCTTTTCTTTACTAAAAATGGCACAGCATTAGCACTTGTGGGTATCATTTTGTTGCCTGGGCTAGAGCGCAGTGGTGTCACTATGGGTCACTGTAACCTTAAACTCCTGGGCTCAAGTGATCCTCCTGCCTCGGCCTCCCAAGTAGCTGGGACTACAGGTGTGTACCCCCAACCTCCTCTAATTTTTTATTTTCTATACATAGGGGGCCTCACTATGTTGCCCAGGCTGTTGGCCTTCCAGAATGCCAGTATTACATGTGTGAGCCAGTGTGCCT